ACTGGATGTAATTGTATCAGAAGTGATTATTATGAACTGAAATAATGCATTTGCTTGTCTATTTTCCTTACAACAGAATCTCCTATATTCCACAGGACCATGACAACTGTAATAGAATACCAGAAATTAATTAACTAAAATATCAACTACAAATGAATAGTTTCCGAAATAGAATTCCGGAATTCCAAAATTCGACAAAATAGAATTTGAGAATTTTCTCATTGTCAATCAATGGAGTTACTTTCTGCAACTACTTTATATTGTGCAAAATGATTTTATAGAATAGGAAATTTGGATGCTCCCTTTTTGGTACTGGTAACTGGTGGTGATGATGTTCTTGCATTGGATTTTGTCACTCAGGGTGAGTTTTGTCACTTGAAATGGTTTCTCTTTTGAGTCCGATAAATTTCTCTAAAATCTTCTACTTTCAATGATAAAACGATACCCTTGAGGTTGGTTCTGTCTGATTTATGGAAATATGAATAGATAAAGGTAAGCTACTTTTAGATTAACTGAATAACCACTTGGGATTTTAGTCTTGTCTATTAAACAAAATGTATCCTCAAAGGAGGTCACTTGTTTTAGCAAAATGTAAACGGCAAGAGGGTTTTTTGTCAAATCTGAAGGGGGTTTAAGTGATTTTTAAAGATTAGTTGGAGATTTTTGTAGCTTGTCTAAACCTCATGGACAGTTTCAGTGGGTTCTGTATACGAAAAGTATAAGATGATTTGGTATCAGATGTGAACCATACTATAATAGACATATTTGCAGAACTTTCTAATGTAATCATTTGGTAGATTTTGGATGAGTATGTGTTTTTGTGAATGTTAAATGATGGTGACTTGTTAATCTATTTATACATTTGCTATGTTGCATGACAATGTGTAGGGGAGTCGGTGTTGTTTCTGCACCTTCATCCGCCTCGTGTGTTTATACTGATGGGGGCTGATGGAATGGTTTGTGAAATCGAGTTGATGTCTGGAAACTTATTAAACAAGTTTAGCACTACTTCAAGTGCAATATCTTCTCTAGCTATTTCCCCAGGTATTTTTTTTTCTTTAGTTTCTTTTCATTTCTTTTCGCTGTTGTACAATTTTCATCTTAGTAAATATTATTCTTGTCAACAAAATGCTCTTGTTTGCTTGGTAATTTTTTGCTTAATGGAATGGAGTAGATCAAAATGGCTCAATTAAATTCTAGTGCTTCTTCTATTAGTGGAGTTTATAGAAAAAAAAAAATATATCAAACGACGCAATGCACCTTGGGTCGTTACGAAAACAGCCTCCTTGTATAATTACAAGGGTAAGGTCTGTTTACAACTGACCTCCCAGACCCCAACCAGTTGGGAATATACTGGGTATGTTGTTGTTGTGGAGGGTGTGATACATGTAATGAATCCTCAGGTTCTCGAGAAATTGACAATGAAAATTAATAACTTAATCATATGTTATATTTAAATTATATGATTGCTTAGTATGAAAACTCCCTTATTATATTTAATTAATTTATCATCAAACCAAATATTGAGTATGTATTCCAAGAATTGAAAATATTATCTGCACAAGAAAAAGATTATTTATTCTAAATAATTTAAAAAAAAAGTAAAATCTGTCGCCGCATTCGGCTGGCGCTACAGGACGCGGCCTGCTGCCAGACCGCGCCCGTGCTGCCGATCGCGCGAGAATGCCCGCCCGTGCATGCCGACCGCGCGAGCACGCCCGCCCGGCTCCCTAACTGGCTGATGCTCATGACTTGCTTTTGAGGGATTGTTTAAAACAATGTTTATGTTCTTTTGGGTGTTCTACCAACAATTTTCGGATAAGATTCATTTAAAATCCAACACCTTATTTATCAGTTGCAAGTGTAAGAAGAAAACAGTAAAATTATTTATCGATTTGTAAAACTTTTCTTTTAAATAGTGAGTTGTTCATCATAATCTCATAATCTTGTAAGTTGACTTTTCAATCAGAATATTTTCACACTACAACAATTTTTATTTTTTTTTTATTTTTTTGCATTTTTGTTTTTCCATATCTTTTAGCATTTTTTTTCATGCGATCTCCTCATCCATAACGTCCACAATTCAAGGAGAGTTGATCTTTATAATTTTGGTAATCGATATATTGCATTATCGAAAATAAATGTCATGCAATTGATAAGAGGTCAATAACAAATTGTCCCTCCGCAGTATTGCAATTAATTGCAAATAGCTGTGGACATAAAAAATTTCCCCTAAATTTAATTGGTAATCTGAATGTTACATATAAATTGACGTGAAAAATCACATAAATAATTTGATAGCAATAATCTATATATATATATATAATTGCTGGCTAATGAGCATTTAATAAAACCTATTAAATTATACCTGTGGCAAAATTTCATTTTCCCTCCAAAAACCGTTACTTTTTATTTATTTAACCTCTCATTTAATTATTAGATAATCAACACACTAATCACTTCAAAATACAAAAATCATTTTAAACTTTTGATTTACTTACAGCTGACCATATAAGTGTTGATTATATAACGTGTTTAGATGTTATTGTTGTGGTTACAATTTAAATTAACTTCTTTGGAAAATAAAAAACGTATTTGAAATTCATAAATAAATAATAAATAATTCACAAAAAAAATACATACCAAAATATACATTACATCCAATATGATAAACGCAATTTAAAAAAATAAATATTCCAGCTCTTTTAAATGTAAATTTGGCCTGCGAAAAGTGTAAGAAAAATTATTAATCATTAATAACTTATAATACTATATTTATATTTGTGCAAATGCACAGGTCGACTACTAGTTAAATATTCATTCCAAACATGTAAATATGTTTTGAGTTTGGAAAGTAAACTCCATCTTGATATGCTCAACTCGACGAAAAGCCTAAGTTCTTAAAATGCTTGAAATCTACAATAAAAAAATAGTTAAGTTCATACGAGTATTTTCTTGATTTATTTCATTATTAAATTCAATAATTGTGAAAATATATCCAATAAATATGAAACTGGGTAGGTAGAAAGTTGAATTTGGCAATATTAAAATTTGAAAAATTTAATAAAGAGTAAGGTTTTGGAGCAGCAATGAAAGAAATTGATGTTTTTTTTTTTCTTGAAAGTTTGAGATGGAATTCCATCAATTTCTACTTAATCCGTGCACGACACTTTAGAGGAGTCGGCCGAGTGTACTTGCCTACCGAGACAAGATGTATACTGATAGATCTCTATGAGCGTAAGGCAAAGTGGACAAGACTACTTCCTTTCCTATACAACTACATTTGAGCTTAAGCAGGACTGTGAGACAGGATTTTCCTCATTCGAAGCAACCGTCTACTACTAGTTACAGATGCTATTTCTAATTGAATAGAATGGATGCTTCACAGCAGTTCTGCGACAGGCTTAGGGTTGAGACAGAGGGAAAAGAGGGGGTGGAAGGCGATGATTTCACAAAACGATGTTTAGGGCTCAATCTATTGAGTAACTTAACTGTGCCACCTTCCACTCCTTTCGCGTCGAGCCTCGTAGCACCTATAAAACTTGTTCTTAGCTAGTAAACCTTCTTGTCCTTTTGGTCCTATTTTCCATGTGGGGAAATGTTCACCTTTTCCTTCTCTCAACAAAGCGATATAAAGGTGATGAAGAGGAGACCCAGGAATGCACCCTTCAATGTCGAGGTTTGGAACCCAGGACAAATGCATAAAGCTCACAAGCTGATCTATCTTCTAAGTCGAATTATTTGTTGGATCTCAATTATATCGACCCTGATCAGGGAATGCTGCAAGACTACGTTATCTTCTAGGGAGTTGGTGGTGACATTACAGGGTCTTGCAACTATATATTTCGCTTAGCGGCGAAGTGGAAGGATGACCATTAAATCAAATAGAATGCAATGGTGACCTACTGCTAATATCTATAGGTTAGTGGGCCTCTACAAGAATGATAATGTGTTGCTTCAAGACTGCAATGGTGACCTACTGCTTTACCATTGTAGGCAGTGCATTTTGCATGATCTCAATATCCACGACCAAAGTTTTGGTCTGATGGTCTTCCCTTATGTTGAGGAGGACTCATATGTGAATGGTAATTAATAAAATTATATTGCATTATTGACTTTTTTAATGAATCAATATTATAAATGTATGTACTTAAAGCCTAACTTTTTTATTGACTCCAACGATCGTTGGCTTTCCGGTTTTCTTATCAATGTGGGATTCTGTACTACCAGTGGAGCGGAACTGTGGGGCCTTTACCAAGGGCTTCGATTGGCTTGGGAATTGGGAGAGCGACAAGTGTTGGTAGAGGTGGATAACAGTAGTGTCGTCTCCATGGTTTTGGGGGAATGAAGATAACCTCGGGCTTCATGAAACTATTGTGCAGGCTATTCGTGCGTTACTCCGTCTGGAGTGGAGTGTACGATTGTCCCATATTTATAGGGAAGGGAACTTTGCGGCCGATTCATTAGCTGCCCTAGCTGCCGGTGCTCCGGTCGGCGTTCACCGTCTTACATCTCCACCGCAGGAGCTCGGCCACTGGCTGAGCCATGATCTTTTGGGAGTGGCTCGCCCACGTCGTGTCTTGTCTTAGTGCTTAGGCTTCGGCCTCCTTCTTTGTAAAAAA